GCTCTTAGGCGGGTGACGCTGGGGCGGAACACCCCTCTGTCGTGCAGCTGTCACACTGTTCGCACACCAGCTGTCGGGGACGTGGGCCTCGGATCGCTCACAGGTTCCACACGCGGCTCTGACGAGGGGCAGTTGCACGCGGTTCTCTGGACATGTTTTGGTTTCTCTCAGGTAAATACTTAGGAGTAGGACTGCTTGCGTTATCTAACTCCTTAAGGTGCCAGACTCCCAGTTTCTACAGGAACAGATCCACGCCTCCACCAAAACTCAGTATTTTTAGTCCTGTTTGTATTAGCCGTTCTAGTAGGTACAGGGTGGTATCTCACTGCATTTCCCTAATGACTAGTGACAGTACCTTTTCCTTTCCACATCTCTTCTTCCGTTAGGTATCTTTAAATCGTTTGACCGTTATATAAATTAGGTTGTCTTCTTCTTAATGAGTTATAAATGTTCTTTATAGTCTGAGGCAGGCTTCTTTAAGAGCGGTCATTTCTAATTCTGATGAGGTTACCCCATTTAGTTTTCTTCTGTGGCTCCTAGTTTTTATTTTGTATCTGAGAAATCTTCAGGTAACCTAGAACTAGGAAGATTTTTTTTTATTTTTCGTAAGTCTTATAATTTTAGCTCCTACATTTAGATCTGTGATCCACTTCTGTGCATGAGATACACAGGGAGGCTCACTTTTCTACATCTATACATCTGTTGAGAAGCCTGGGATGCCTTTTGTGCCCGGTGAAACCTCACACGTACTCTGAACCAGGCTGTCTTCAAATATAAGATGTTGTTAATATATGACCAGATCCAGTTAAATGGAGAACAGTCTTTTCAGTGACTGACACAGAGACGGCTATCAGTGACGAAAGAATGAAGGTGGACTCCTGCCTCACGTCATCTACACAAGTTAACTCAAAATGGATCAAAGACCTAATTTGAAAAGCTAAAAATATAAAACACTTAGGAAAAAAAACACAAGTGTGGATCTCTGTGACCCTGGGTTCAGCATTGGTTTCTTAGTTCTGACACCAAAAGCGAAAGAAAAAAAAAAAAAAAAAAAAAGAACAAAAACAGAAAAACTAGACTTCATCAAAATTAAAAACTTCATGCAGGTGACACCAGTAAGGAAGAAAAAAGACAATCCTCAGAATGGGATAAATCCTCTTATCTGACAAATGATCTGTATCCAAACAATACAAAGAGCTATTATAATTCACTGATGAAAAATAGCCCCGTTTAAAGATTAGGCAAAGGATCTGAACACACACGGCTCCAGAGGCGAGCAGATGACTGGAAGCCTGGGAAGAGGCTCCGCATCCGTGGCCATCGGGAAAACCGGGGAAATGCAATCCACAGTGACCGCCCACCTCCCACCCACCAGGAGGACACAAGGGTTTCTAAGAGAGGGGCGACGACAGACACCGTCAGCAAGGAGACGGAGAAATCAGGACCGTCAGACGCTGCTGGGGAATCGCGGAAGTGGGCGGCCGCCGCGGACAGCAGGCGGGCAGTTCCTCTGTGGCTACGTGGAGTCCCCCAGGACTCAGCCGTGCCGCTCCCAGGCGCGTCACCGAGAGAAAGGAGAACGCAGGTGCCCACCTGCACGCGCCGCAGCTTTGTTTCCAGTAGCCAAAAAGCAGAGAACCGCCACGTGCCCATCAGCTGACGAGGGGATGAACGCGGGGTGTTCCTCAGCGCGTAGAGGAGTGACCAGGACGCTGGCTGCCGCGTGGTCACACCCTGAGAACGTGCACGTCAGAGACGCCAGTCTCAGAGGACACACCTCGAATGATTCCATTTGTCTGAAATGCCCAGAACGGTGGCATCTGTGGACAGTCGGTCCACGCTCGCTGCCTGATGCCTGGGCGGGCACAGAGGGGTGAAGGGGCAGGAGCGAAAGCAGCAGGGCTTCTGCAGTTGGGGCGCGGAGATGTTGTACGGCCTTTGAATACACTAAAACCCCTGAATTATGTACACTTGGAAGGAGTAAGTGGTATGTGAATTATATCTCAATTTTTAAAAAGAAATCGTTGAATTGGCCAGACATAAAGTCAAGATGAATTAATCTATCTGTGGACACTCGGGTGCCCTTAAGCTCAGGATGCAAGGTTGCCCGTTCGTGTGAGCAGGAGGCAGGCAGGGCGCCCCGGGCCCTTCCCCCTGGGCCCTGGGCTGGCAGCCCCGGCGCGGAAACGCAAGGCTGGTTTTCTCCAGTGCTCCTAGGAGTCTGTTCCCTTTGGACCGGCACCGTCAATGGCAAAGCAAGTCTCCGGTGTGAAAGGGTGTGACCCCAAGCCAGCGTCCCCATGGCCACCACTGCTGCCAGACACCAGGGGAGCTCTTGAAGGCGCACTGCCAGGCGAGTGGCAAGCGCTGAGTAAACCCCGTGTTGACTCACACTGAGGACAGGCTTCCGGGGGCAAGGCTGATGCCCCGCCTGTGCAGAGCCCCCCATCGCACAGCCTGTTCCCAGCTTCCCAACGCCACCTCCCGTCACAGCCCTACGAGAAACTTCTGACCACCGTTGAAGTGTGCTCATCTGCCCTAGGAGCCGCGTCCCACGTCACGGCTCTGTTCTCCACAGCGCCCCCTGCGCACCGCGGTCTCACCGCGCTCTGCGGGTCTCGGCGCCGCCGCCGCCCGCGGGCTCCGCTCTGCGCGCTCTGCTGCGTGTGCGCGGGTGCGGGAAGCCGGGGCGCGGGCCGCCGTGCTGCCTTGTGTAAGAGGCAACTCAGCACGCCCCCCAGGAGCTCTCCAGAAACATCCTGGGTGCCCGGCCTCTTCCTGGTGTCCGCGTTTGTACTTGTTTCTGTTTGTTTTTAAACTAGGGGGAGTGTACCTTTTTGTGAACACTTATCTAAACCCTCCTTTTGCTGGTGAGGAGGCCCGGCCAGGCTGTGAGGTCCTGTGAGGTCCCCCCGGGGGCTGAGCCCGCGCCGTGTCTGCCCCGCGGGCCCCACGCCGGAGCCAGCGCCCGCCTGGTGCGGCCGCCCCCCAGCCTGGGAGCTGCCCCGCCGCGCTCACGTGTCCCCCTGTGGGGCCCCGCTACAGCTGTTATTAATTTAGAAGAGCTTGAGGTTTAAAAATCAAGCAGCGCTTTCCATTTAGAACACTTAAGTATACATTTTCTCATACACACTGTTTCGCTGAAATTAGAAACTGGCGGTAAGCTTAAACCAGGCCGAGCCCAGCCTTTGGTCAGAACAGCTTGGTGTTTGGCCGTGGTCGTGCCCCGTCGGCATCTTCCACACGTGGGTCTGGAGCACTGGCCTCACACCCTGGCGGCAGAGGCTGATCTTCGGGCCGGCCCTTTAGAAGCTGTCCCTACAAGACCTCCTTCTCGGGGCTGACTGGGTTGTGTCCACGAGCACTTGTGTCCTCAGGAAGGTCCTGTCCTCTGAAGCCCTGGGTTCTGATACCCACAGCTGTCCCGTGAGGCTCCGTGTGGGACACAGCAGGGCTCGCATCTGCCCTCAGCGCCAGCCCGGATATCTGTTTCTATACCGCGCGCAGTGGGAGGAGGGAGAGAAGACGTGTCTCGGACACTGGCCCCGGAGCCCACAGGCCCACCACAGTCCGCCCCAGAGCCCACAGCAGCCTCGGCTGCTCTCCCCCAAGCCCTGCAGTCCGCTCCCCAGAGAGCAGACCTTGAAGCCAGATGTACGTTCACGTGTCAGTTCCGCAAGGAATAGGATCAGATTTTTCTAGAATATTAGGTAGAGGGGAAAACCAGCCCTACCTTAGAGTTGGAAGCCTAGAAATCTGTGAAATTCCATTTCATTTTCCTCTTTTAGAGAGTACCTTCGACTCTCGAGTGGCATGGGATCTCGTGAAGCCGGCTTGGTGGAGCATGCTCCCCGAGACCCCATTAGCCCAGGCAGCCAGGCACACTTCGGGGGAGACCGACGCAGAGGTCCCCAGGGGCCCCCAGTGGCTCTGTTCCCAAAGTGCAGATGGGCGGGGGCCATCGGGCGGCAAGTGTGAGGATGGACAGGGTGGGAGCGTCTACTGCGGCCGGGGCCTGCCTGGGGGCTGCAGTTTGAAGGGCTTTTAAGGCCAAATGCTAAAGCTGCAGACCACAGCAGTAAGACAGCACTGGTCAGCAGGCCGAGCATCACCCTGGTGAGCTGCAAGGAACCCCGCAGAGCATGTGCGACTGCTCTCCTGCCATGCATGCCTCGAGAACGGGGCAGACGGAAGGGCCACCCCAGGGCAGAGAGGGGTCTAGGGAGGCAGCGTGGCCAAAGGCCAGAGAGCCCTGGGGGACAAAGAGGTGAAACCGGGATGAAGCTCTTCACTGGGAGGGCTGTGGGGCAGTGGGAAGATCTAGAACAGGCAGCACCACTGAGCCAAGCGGCAGGAGTGGGGTGGCCGGGATGCCGCATACTGTGTCTTAGACCACAGAGGGGCTCCAGCAGGAGCAGCTGAGAGGGGCCCTGGCTGCACGCAGGATGGAAATCAAACGCTGAGCCAGCAGGAGGTGAGAACAGCGTTTACTGAACTTACAGAAAGATACAGAGCATCTGGGAGACATGGAAAGGAAAGGAGGGAGTCTTGTCTTTGTTCAGGGTCTTGGGGCTTTCTACTGAGGACAGTGGTCTGGTGCACATGTCCCCTCGGGCCTTCAGGAACCGTGAGAACAAAGACGAGGACCCAGGTGCTATTCCTGGGAGCGAGGGGGCCTTGGCGTCGAAGTGTCTAGCACTGGAGGTCTGGAATACGCATCTGATGGCTTCCAGGCCTTCTCACCTGGTCCTGCCTTAGATGTGGTCTGAGTCCTGGTCCCTTACAAGGAGGGCGGACACGATCTAGATTGTGGCCTGTGTGAAATGGGGGTGCAGGTCCTAGCAGGAAAAGGAGCCAAGAGCTGGTTGTGGGGCAGGCCTTCAGCTTCCCCGTCTCGGGGGACCGTGATGCCAAACCACCAGTGCACTGCAACCTGACGACTTCATGGCTCCTGGCTCCTGTCCTGTCCCTGATTTTTCTGTACCCGCTTCCTCTCCCACAGGAGAAGTACCCAGAAGCCGTGCACCTCCCAGAGGGGGCCACCTCCAGCTGCATGGTGGTCCGGAGCGCCCGCCAGCCTGGGTGAGTGCAGATGCCCTGCAGGCCCAGCCTCCCCAACACCAGGCGGCTGCTTGCTCTTAAAAACGAGCATTACAAGTGGTAGAAAACGAATGTCGACTCCCTTCCAGACACCTTGATGTGTCTGTGCAGCCCTGGGGAAGAGCTGGGAGGGGACATGGGGAAACGGCCAGTGGTGCTGGGCTCACTGCAGGGATGGAACGAGCAAGGAGGGGAGGCCGGGAGGAGCTGGGGCTCTATCTTGATGGGCTGACCTGGGGAAAGGCCGGCAGGCAGTAAGTTCTGGGTGAAGGGAGGACCTCTCTGGGGTCCCGTGCACACACGTGGGAGCCCCCCCACACCCCCTGCACGTGAGGCGCCTTCACAGTCTGTGTCAGAGTGCCTGAGGGGCTTTGTTTTCAAACCTTCAAATGGAGCCGTAACTATGTGGACTTCTCAGCCTTGCCTTTGTTACTCTACGTTATTTCCAAAATGAGCTTCTGGCAGTGTGTGGAGCCGTACACAGTTCATTCATTCTCGGTGGTTCTACTCTGCCAGCTGTTATTTCTGCTTTCTTCGGGTCTTGGTCACTTGGGTCATCGATTGTTTTCCACTATTTCTCACACTCCTGTCCATGTCACTGGACACTTAGAGGACCCAGGCTTGTGGCAGGAAGTGAAATTCCTGGCCTCCCATCACTGCCGATGCTTTTCAGACTACGCTGTCCGTTCAGGCTCCACGGTAGTAGGTTTTCCGCATCGTATGTCACCCGCACACCCACACCACCACGTTGTGGGTCCAGAACAGCATCTTGCTGGGTCTTGGGGTCCATTTCCCTCTTCATTCATGTCACACGCGCTTCGCTGAGCAGACGTGGTGCGTTTCCGTGCCAGACGTCTTCAGGAGCACCTCCTCGGGGAGGGTGACAGGTGCCACACAGGTCACACTTCCCACCTGACTTCAAACAGCACTTAGGAAGGCATCTTACATCTTTCAGGTTCGAGCTGGTCATCGTTTGGAGGGTGCAGATAGATGAAGAAGGGAAGGTTTTGCCAAAGCTGGACCTTCTCCCCAAAGCACCACAGCAAGGTAGGGGCCTGGCCAGGGGGTGTGTGTAAGGATTTACTGTATCCAACAGGCGCCTGCTACTGTCTTCTGGTTTTCAGGGCAAGAATCAAAAGCTGAACATCTCAGTGTATTGTTTATATCGGTTTATCAGTGATCAGAAAGCAGAGGCGAGGAGAGACTGTTCCCTCCCCACCTCTGGTGTGTGGGTCCATCCCCACGGTCACAGAAGTCGTCGGCTGGGGAGGGAGGGTCTCAGCGCAGCGTCTCAGCCAGCCTGCTCTCCCTGCAGCTCTGGAGCTGGACCGGAACCGAGTCCTGGAGACCGCGCCTCTCAGCTTCCGAGCCCTGCTGGGTGTGCTGGGCATTGAAGCCGCTCTCGAGAGCCTGATAAAGTCACTCTGCACAGCGGACTCCAGCTAGTTCCTGGCAAACACGCAGGTGTGTGACCATCTTCCACAAAGAAACGACACCTTTAGGACAGGTTGTCTGTGCAGTTTTAGCACATTCTATATCATCCGTCAGAACGTGGGATAATAGATAACAGCTATTGCAGTACAAAACACCAGACCAGCAGCACATACAGTGCCTGGGGCACCTGGCGGGCTCGGCTGGGGGAGCATGCAACTCTTGATCTCAGGGTCGTGAGTTCAAGCCCCACGCTGGGGGTACAGAATACTAAATAATAATAATAAACGTTCTCAAAAGTTAAGCTTATTATTTTTCCTCTATTTCCTATTATTATTTTAAAAATAATAATAGGAATGTCCATCCTTGGATTTAGGGGAGCAGCTGGTCCTACCTCTCACCAAGTCTGAGGATGGAGGCGCCCTGGAGGTCAGCCCTCCCCTTGCCACCCAAGGGTCCCTACTCCTTGACATTCCTGACGCCCAGGGTGACACACCCACCTTGCCATCCTGCCCTACAGAGTAGAACTCACTCTTCCTGGTCTTGACATCAAAGTGCAGCAGTCAGCTTTAAAAATGCAGTGTCACAGACTTGACAACCCCAGCACCCCGTCCCCCAGGTAGCACTGGCCTCAGCCATCCCATTTAAAAGGTTAGAATCGGTAGAAACATTGCTTGAAACCAGTCAGGGAAGGAGCCGCACTGGAGTGTGAAGCGGAGACCACACAGGGCAGGACCTCGTCAGTCGCCATGGGGACGCTGGTGGTTTCAGCCAAGACGGGCCTCAGAGGGGGCCCAGCCCACCTCCTTGCAAGGTCAGGGTGTTGTGCACACCCATCCTCACACAGGCCAGCAACAAGGAGCCACCTCAGGCCGAAACAACAGAGATGCTTCCGTCCACACATGTCCCTGCAAGGGGTGTCTCCACAGCCCCCCAGCGCCCACAGGTATCTTTCTGAACGTCTGAGGAAAGAAGTAAATGTTAGGACAAAGCTGAATAAATTCTAGGAGAGCTGGCTTGATTCAAACAAGTATAATTCTCAAGTTATCACAAAATTCCCCACAAAAATTTACAATCAGCAAAATATTCTTATTTTTCACGTAGCATTTTCATACAATACCGTGGTTTTGCTATTATAATCTTATGTTACAATAAACCTTCATTAGTCCCTCAAAACGATGATATAAATAATCTGTACAACCCACCATAGAGTAAAAAACCAAAGCCAAGATTCCCCACAGTCTTCTTAGCAGCCGGGCACACTACAGTGACCCCAACAAGAACCCTCTCAGTGCCGGCCAGGAGTCGCTCATCTCTGCAGGAGCAGAGCTGGCGGCTCCCCCGAAGCACCGGATGCGAGGCGTGCAGCCGCCCCAGCGGCAGCCACGCGGCACGGAACACCTCGGCTCCCCTCACGTCAGAGAAAGCGCTCGTGAGTGGTGTCCACCCCTGACCTGAGTCCCATGCTCCCTGAAGACCCTGTGCAGAGCAGTGGCCGTGGCACCTCCACAGAGACCTCAAGTCCACGCAACTCAGGACCCTCATCCGCACCAGCGCCCCCATCCCACTGTGCGGCAGAGCCCACGAGGCCTGTGCTCACTGGGGACTCGCACGGACAAAGCGACCACGTAACTCAGCTGGGAAAGTTCCAGTAGTATCCATGTTCCCTTTCAAGACCAAACTGTAAGATGTACGCGACAATTCAAGTTTTCTATGTTCGAGTCCGGTAGCAGGAGATCCAAACCTTGGGTCTTAAGGCTTTTACATCAGAGATTAGACATCAGCCCTGGGTGGGGAGGAGGAGCGGCCCAGAGCAGAAGGTGTGGGGACACCACACGCAGCAGCGCTCAGGTCTGACACTCCTCGTCCTTGAAGGTGTTTCTGCGGCCCTTCCATGCGGGGTCACCCAGACACAGCCCCACCTGGCCAGGTGGTTAAAAAGCAAAAACATTCACAGCCAAAGGTCACCCAACACAACAGAAAACAGCTCTCATTCAGCCTGCACAGTCTGTGTTCAAGTTTCGAAGACCCCACAGGAAGCGCCTAGACCTTATGGAGAACTAACGTGCAGTCCTCACTCTCCTTGTACCTGGTCGGCATCACGGCTGCGTCTTTGGCGTGTACAGTCTTTGAGTAGAAGTTGACTATCTTGCCGTCCAGTTTGTACTGGTGAGGAATGCTCTCATAGGGCTTGAGGTCGAGGTCCAGCACGGACACGGAGAAAGCAAACCTGGATCTCGACGAAGGGACAACGGGCCTCTGCTCGGAGCTGGAAGCGGAAGAGCAGCTTCAGGACACATGAACCCCAAATCCTCACCCTGTTCGGGAGACGCACCCCGCCTATGCCTGCCGTGACACCCCCCCCCCAACCACCGCACGGACAGGAGGGCTAGCAGGTATCCCCCGGGTCCCAGGGGCCCCTGACAGGGACTCCGCAATCACTAACCCCGAGAGAAAGGAGAAGGTCGACCTAGCCTTTCCTCAAGCCGATGGAGCAGACTTCCCTCCCCCGCCTTTTCCCATATCTGGTGTAAAGCCCATGTTCCCTGGGGCGCTTCACGTTAGGAGAGCACGCTCTGATTTCATGCTTTAGTCTCAAATCTCATCTGCGGGGCTCGATGTTTTGTTTCTAAGGCTTAGTTTTGTGGGTTTTCTAAACATCAGAAGTAGGCGTGCTTATAACAGAAAATGAACAATTATATTAAAACCAACCACTCTGAGGCTAATTCTGAATTTTGTACTCAAATAGCGGTGCCATCCACCCCACTCAGCTCTCAGAGTGCTCGGTAATATTCTGCATCCAACAATGGCTAAATATAAAAGCGCTCGGTTTAGCCCAAGAGAAATAGGGCTCCTAGTTTCCCATGCTTACTACTCTTGAAGATTTAGAAAGCATCCCAAAACAACACAGATTTCAAAAGCTCCTGCCTGGGAGGGGAAGACCAATGAACACGCTCCCGTTCTGACAAAGCTCATCAAGGCCGAGACTCTTACTTAACTCCTGTCCTGAAATACCCTCTGTCGGGAAAGGGAGCCGTGGCTCGGCTGCTGGGCCGAAGCTACTCCCTCCCGAACGGCAGAAGGTCCCGCTTCTAAGGCCTGAGCTCCAGGCAGCGGGGCCGGGACAGCACCTCTCGGGCCCCCAGCAGGTTTCCCACGACCAAGCCGGCACCTGACAAGGTGACACGCACATAGACAGGCATCACCTGGCACACAGGCTGCCTGTGTCTGTGTGTCCAGCACAAGTTCCGGGGAGCCCAGGGCGCAGCTCCAGTGCCAAAATGCTCCTGCGCTGCGCCCTGGGACTCCCGGGACAGGCGTCCCCGCCCATCCGTGTCTGCCAACCAGCCAGCCCACCCTGCATGTTCCCGCACGGTCCTGAGTGCGTGCCTGAGGAAGGGCAGCGGGTGACAGCGCATGCTTCTGTCATCAGACAAGGTGGCTCCGTCCAGTGAACGCGCACTGCAGCCACATCCTCCCGGGATCCCAGGGGTCCTCGTCTAAACAGAACCACCTTTCCGGATTTCAGCTACACCCTAGGAACATCCCTCCGCGTTTCCTATCTGCTCCGTGCCGGCCAGGGAGCAGCAGTCCTGGGAATGTTTAGTTCAAAAGCATCTGAGAAATGGGTGGCTGGCAGCCAACGATAAGGTCATTTTGACCCGGGAACACATGTCAGAAGAATGTGGAACATTCCACAAACACTGTGTGTGGGGTTTGGCACTCTGCGGATCAATGCTGAAGATGCCATCTAATTAGCAAGAGAAGATTATCATGTTCATCCTGAATTCCTAAAAAAAGGCAGAGGAGGGGACCGGACAAGGACAATAATGTCCAGGGAGAGCTGCTGCCGACAGGAAGCTCAACAGGGAATGTGCCGTCCCACAGGCCTGGAAGGGCCACGAAGGCTGGTGGATCGGGACCTCGTGGGGGATATGCAGCTTCTCAGGACTCCAAGCATCAGTCAGCACATGGCGCCTTGAGAGAAAGGAATTTGTGCCACAGGATCCAAGGTGCTTCTAAGTCTTTGGAGTATTTTCTTAGAAAAGGATAGTAATCTCTAATAGGACAATCTTAAGATATTCTCGGTAAATGTCTTTCCAAGCGAATCACAAGCTTCAAGAGAGCAGCAGGAGTTAGCAAGCCACGGTGGGTTACTAGGTGTCCCGTAGCCCACAGACATCAGCCTGTCAGCAGAAGTGGCCTGCCAGGGTGCTGTAACCGCAGGGACAGGAGCACGGGACCCAGCAGGCAGCTCACCTTGTGTCCTGCAGGCAGGGGGAGAGCGCGATCATGATGGAGCAGTCCTTCGCAGTCATGGCCACCCGGTACTGCTGAACCTGCGGCGGGATGGGGAGGTCAGCACCGGGACCGTACCCACACCACACGCACCCAGCACCCGGCATGGTCCAGAAATGAGCTACAGGTCCGGGGCTAAGTGAGGAAGCCCCAGGCCAGCCCGCCCTGCCCTCTCACTGCAGGCGGCATGCGGACCCTGACTCCAAACACCAGGATGCAGGCTTGTCCTCAGCAAGGCAGCCAGTCTGCCAGCTTGGAAGTCTGCTACCTGGGCTACTGGGGTGCTAGGCAGCCTGCCGTGCTGAGCCAGCTCTGTTCCACACACGCCCAGCATGGCCTGCTCAGGTCACACCACCAGCACGAATGATGCTGCGGGGGGAGGGCTGCCAGGCTCGGTGTGAACCCCCTTCACCCCCAGAGTGACCCACAACCGGCCCACTCAGCAAGACCTGTGACGCAAGGCTGGGTTCAAACCCAGGCACTGTGGCTCTCAACACTGGCCTGGACCACGTGCTCGCACCAGCCTACAACCATGTCTGCCAGGGCCGCTGGCGCAAACCACACACAGTGTGCTCTGGGGACCCAACTCATGAGGCCGTGTGTGCCCACCTACATGGCAGACATGTAGGTTCCGGAAAGCATCACCTCAGCGTAGTCTGGGGCATTTACCCCCCCCTTTGATGTCTCACATTATTATCTGAGTTTTTTAGACTGAATAGCTCTCACTTTTACAAAAATAATCACAAAAAAGGAAATGGGCCTTACAGGCTGTCACTGGCCTCAATGTCATGTGCT